GGGCAGAAGCACATGTGTTTGTATCTGATGTGTGTGTGGATGTGTGGATTTGGGGACACATATCACAGGGCAGAAGCACATGTGTTTGTATCTGAGGTGTGTGTGGATGTGTGGATTTGGGGACACATATCACAGGGCAGAAGCACATGTGTTTGTATCTGATGTGTGTGTGGATGTGTGGATTTGGGCACACATACGTCACAGAACACAGGCAGAGGCCAGAGGACTGCCCCTGTGACATCATCCTCCAATGACCCTTGTTTGAGAAAGGGTCTCTCACTGACTGCGGCACAATCCGTGCCAGCTGCCACACGTGCTTCCAGAGTCTCCTGTCCTGCCTGCCATCTTCCCACAGCTCCGCAGGAATTCCAGGCTCGTGAGTGTCTTTGTGATTTTCCTCCAGCATTTTCGTGGATTCTGGTGACATAAACAAGCAGAGGACAGAGTTTAGCTTGGAGTCTCATTTGGTTTGGGGATATGAACACACACACACACACACACACATACACACACATACACACACACACACACACACACACACAAAACCTTGTAATAACACACTTGTCAACCTAGTTCACGTGCATATACTGTACACACAGACCCCTCTCCAAATAATGCACCCAGCAACCACAGAACCCCCTCCCGCACCCCCTGCATCAGGCTACAGGTACTCACAACCCTGAACAACAGTATAGATTTCCCCACTCCCAATAACAATCAAATTTAGACAGTTTCTAGTCAAGTGTATTCCCAATGTATGAAGAACAGAAGGGATGATCCGGCCTGAACTGGTTTGGTTTATATGCGCAGTAAAGCAGAAATGTGTCCTCTAGCAACCATTTAGGGAGCAGCCCCTACTTACCATCTCCTGCCTATGCAAATCGGGGGTACATAACATTAAAGTCAGATGCATTATGAGAAGGGACTGCGTAATGGGAAAAATGAATATGCGGCATAATCTGTCAATCAAAATAGAGAACCACCCAAATTATCCCCCCTAGTAACCAGCCCCTCCTCTTGAAGCCCCAAACAGTAACAGGGCTTGAGTACTCTCACTCAGATGGCCTGCTGTCAATCTTGACAGTACATCCCTCTCTAATCTATCTCTTGCTTCACTCTGAAAAAAGCTATCTTGCTTCTTTGCAAATCCATGTAATTCCAGCCCTTATTTTCAGTTCTTTGCATAAGAAGGCAAGAATCAGAAACACTTAGACAAGACCCCAGGCACCAGTATCACGGGGATCCAAACTCAGGCCATCAGGCTTGCCTGGCTAGTGCTCTACTCAATGAGCTCCCAGCCCCCAAATTATATATTTTCTTCTATTTTTATCACATTTTATGTGTTTACCTGTGAGATGGCGTGTGTGTGGATGTCAGAGTACAGTTCTCAGGAATGGGTTCTCTCCTACCATGTGATCAAACGCAGGCTGTTAGGGTTGGCAGTAAGCATATTTGCCCCCTGAGCCATCATGTCAGGCCCCAAGTTATGTATTGTCTTAGGAAAAGTTGACCACAAAGGGATGTGACTTTTTTGCGCTAATGCATTATTTACTATAGATCATGCAGGGTGGCCGGTACTTTTCATACAAACAAGCAAGGCAGAAGCATGGACCCTTTCTTCAGCTCGGAAAGCAGACTAGGATGTTTAACAATTGCTGCAAACCGCTCATCCCTTCAGCAACAGAGAGGGCATTTGCTCCCAGGTCTGCTGACTCCACAGCTCATAAGTGTTATGAGCTTTTGGTGAGCCAAGAGAAGAAGGAAGAAGAGGAGGAAGGGGAGGAGGAGGAAGAAGGAAGGAGGAAGATGAGAAGAGGAAGGAGAAGAGAAGAGAAGGAGAAAGGAGACACAGAAGCAGAAGAAGAAGAGGAAGAAGGAGGAGGAGGAAGAAGAAGGAGGAGGAGGAGGAGCAGCAGCAGCTGCTGGTGATGATGGTGATGGTCCCCGAGACAGGGATAGAGTCAAAGCTGGAGCCATGTGGCAGAAGCTGGCCAGCAAGTTGACAGACATTGACATGGGATGACACAGGAGAACTGGAAGAAAAGGGACAAAGTTCAGACTAAAACAGACAAAGAAAACTGGGTCATCTGCCAAACAAAGACCCTGCCCTCGTGGCCTGTTACACAGCCTTCAAAAACCACTGGACTGGCAATGACCAAATGTGGGCCAACCATTCAGAAAGGTTGGTCTTCATATAAAAGTCAATGGCAAAGTGGACGTCCTGGGTGGGGGGCCATGTCCTAGAGACTGTTGGATGGCAGGGGTGAGCTATCAGTATCTGGTGCTCTTGGCGGGCAGTGCCAACCTCAACCTCTTCCCACCTTCAGGTCCGCAGCTCCAGGGAAGGCATCATGCTCCAGTCACAAAGTGAGCACTGTGGGGACGAAGCCATTTAGCTAGGATGAATGACCTTCGCAAGAAGTGGCCGGGCAAAACCAAGGCAAGAAAAAGGCCAGTGGGCACACTTAGCTTCCATTGCCCACGATCTCCATGTACAGAGACCCCTCTGAGTAGGGCTCCCTGTGGGCTGGCCCAAACCCTTGCACACTCTGGGGCAGGTCTGTGAGCAGTGGAAAGCCTGGGGCATGCCCAGCTTCCCTTCATTACCGTCCCTAGGAACCAGTAGCTGTGCAGAAGGAATTACTCACTCACCCACTCAAAGGCAGGGCATCCACCAAAGTCAGACCCATTCATTGCCAGGGGCAGAGAACATGAAATACTTAGACCCTTCATGAAGGGAGAATGCAGAACTGTTCAGAAATAATAGCACTTGTGCCCAATCTTTAGACATTCAAATGTGATGTGTTCATCTACAAAGTTCACACAGTGAGCCACACAAAGGTCACACACACACACACACACACACACACACACACACACACACACACACACAGCAAAAACTGGTAACATTTTAGGTACGTTTCTATTTCCGTACAAAGCTGCATTCACCCTTGTCCTGGCCCATGTGGGCCTGCATTAAAGGATAGCTGATTTATACAGAAAGACAGAACACCACATTCTGCTTGGGAAAGAGTGTCCCAAGGGGTGGAGGCAGGTGAGGGATTGGAGCAATGGTCCCCGACCAAAGGGGATCTGAGACCCCTGCAGAGCAATCCCCGCAGCAAAGAATTGCAGGACGCCCAGGGTCAGGAGCACCCAGGCTGGGAACTCTGAGTTCTTACATAATCGAGGACACACATGGGGACGGAACCCATGGCCCTTGGGAACTGGGGGGTGGCTGGGGATGCCGCTGGCCACGTGGGAGGACAGCAGCTGTCGATGGGAATCACAGACACAAAGTGGCGGAGGGAAGGCTACGGGACAGGAAGAGCAAAGACAGGCATTCAGAGGCATAGAGGAGAGGTGATCTGTGGGCCACGGACGCTGCTCACGGACACTCGCTGTTTCTGACGCTACCCAGCCTCCCCCACCCCGCCTCCCCGGTGTTTTAACGGGGTGACTCACGGTGGGTTCACATTTGCTGGTTGAGAGCAGGGGTTGGAGGTCAAGCTCTGAGGGAGGAAGGACACCTTCCACCGCGGCTTATTGTTTCAGAAGTCTGGAGACCGCAGGGTTGGTACCAATGGGTCTGGCTGTATAAGTTGTGTACTGCACAAGGTCCAGCTCGGGCAGGCTGGACATTCACCCTGAAAAGCAGGGTCCCCTTTTCGTACTCTCGCTGTGGGCCCCAAAGGCAGGACCACCTAGACAGTGCTCCAATGCGAATTGCGCAACACCCATGGCCCCAGCCGAGCTCCCGAGGAGAATAACTCCACACTCCTCATCTGCAGTTTTAAAATTCATAAAACCCTTGAACATTAAGGAAAAAAATCGTTAAAAGATTTTTTTAAAGACAGATTTGAAGTAAGCTCGCCTGGCAGAAAACCCTGACCTTAGCTAACACAGGCTAATTATAGTCTGTTCTTGTCCCACTTACTGTGAAAGTCTGAGCTTTTCCTGCCGAAATATTCACATGTTTTACCAGGGGAGTGCGCCCTCGTTCTCTGCTGGGAGGCAGGGGTGGGGGGTGGATGTACATGCAATTTACATTGTATTTGAAAGTATCTTCATCCTAACACATGTCTGTGCCAAGGGTTTCCCATTCAGTCTGGGAACTTGTGCCCCCTTGATTGTATAGATGGAGGAACTGAGGCCCAGAAAGGCCAGGTCATAGGTCATTTCTCCATCTCTCCTCACCACAGAAGTTCCCAGAGGCTTTGTGGAGTAGGACGCAGCTCTGTGAAGAGCCCAAGCCTCCTTTCACGGGCAGCGAGGAAGTTCTCAGCACACAGGTGAGAAACAGAATCTATCGCTCCCCTGAGGAGGATGGGTACCAAAAAGTCAACCCTGCATGGGGCTCACAGAGTCTTGGGTGTCCAGTCCAAAGCTGAAAGTCCCCTCCTGGAATCGACCTCTGTCCGGTGACCAGGCACAGCAGATGCCCGCAATAGAGAAGCCCGCAGATTCTGGAAGGATCCGTGGGTGAGCTCAGACTGACTGGAGCGCCCCGGAGAGTCAGGTGCTGAGGACATACAGAGTGCAGTGTGGCTTCCTCCTCCTAGGTCCTGCCAAGTCCAGAACGAGCCAGGCTCCCACCTCAGCACCAGCCAGGACCGAAAGGCCCCCTTCTCCTCGGTGAAACACAGCCAGCCCCCAAAAGCCTCAGCAGAGGCAGGGTCCAGCACCTTCCACCTAGAAGCAATGTAAATCTGAAAAGGAGCTTCATAGGATGCAGTGTGTCTGCCCTCTCTTATTGCCAGGAGAAGTTGGAAATCCAGGATCATGGCACCAAAGCCATCATTATCCATCACCCATCCGAACCAATTTAAGCTTCCTAAAAATACGTCTTTAAAAATCTATTTTAAAGTATTGCGGTGAATATTGAACTCAAAATCACATTGTGATTCATCTCTGAGTCTCACTGTGTGTATCTAAATTACACATTTAGACAGTCTGTATTGCTTTACACTATTATACATACATGGTTCTAGATCTTCTTCAAAGAAGTTTCTATTCAAAGTCTTTGCCCATTCTCGTGGGCAAAGGCTCATCTTCCTGGTGCTGTGGTTCATTGGTTCTGTTGTGTGGGTTTTGCTTTGAGACAGGGTCATGCTATGTCGCCCAGACTAGCCTTGAACTCAGTATGCAGCTGTCGACGTGACACACCTAGCCACCTGGGAAGAGAACCTCAACTGAAGGACTCCCCGGATAAGGTGGGTCTGTGGCCATGCCTGCTAGGTATTTTCTTAATTGGTAACTGATGCCAGAGGGAGGTGCCAGTCCCTAGACAATGGGCCTGGACTTTCTAAGAGGAAGCAAGCCAGTAAGCAAGGGGTTTCCTCTTAGTCTCGGCTTCAGCTCCTGCCTGACCTCTCCTGATGATGGACTACAGCCTACACACCAAACCTACACCCTTTCCTCACATGGCATCGGGTCCCGGTGTTTATTACAGCACAGGAAAGCAAGCATCTTTCATTTTAATGAAATTTAACTATTTAACTTCCGTTTGGGTTGGGGTTGTGTCCTGCTGCTGTTTGGGTAAATATCCCCCAGAAGCCCTTGTGCCAAAGATGTGGCCCCACGATGCTACTGGGAGGTGCTGGGACCTTGAAGAGCCCCAGCTCTTAAATGCTCTCTTAACTGGACTTTGGGATTTTACTCTGCACACACACACATGTCATGTGTGGCCTTCAGTCACAGGCTCTGAAGCCGGCTCTCTCTCCAAATTCCTGAAGTTCATTCTTCTGGAGTTCCTTCTACCGGAACTATACCTAACTCTAGCCTACTTGGCCTTTCAGAATTAAGGACCAATCTTTAATTCACAGGACAGTAGGCATTCCCCTCTGCTGTGGTGACAGGCCAGGCAGAAATACTTCACAACAGGGCTGGGACGGTAGCTTGGTCAGTAGAGCGCTTGTCTAGCATGCCTCAAGTCCCGGATTCCATCCCCAGCACCTCACAACCCAGGTGTGGTGGCACACACCTGTAATCCTAGTACTCAAGAGATAGAAGCAGGAGGACGGAAGTTCAAGGTCATCCTCAGCTATATAGTGAGTTCAAGGCCAGCCTGGGCTACATGGGATTCCATCTGTGAAAAAAGAAGTCTTAGCTCCCCGCAACAGCCTTGCTTCCTTTCCTCGGGGATCCAATGGATCTTGGGGTCCAGGCCTGAAAATAGCTGTTTATTGTATTTTTTTTTATTTTTCTATGTTTGTATGTGTACACATATATGCATGTATGTACATATGTGCAGAAGTTAGAGGTCCATGATGAGTGTCTTCCTCAATTGTTTCTTTACCTCGTTTTTTTGTAACAAGAGTTCATGAACTTGGAGCTCACTGATTGGCTGGACTGGCTGGGCCATCAGCCACAGGCTCCTCCTCTCTGCCACACCCAGGTTTTGTGTGGATGTTGGGGATCCAAACTCAGGTCTTTCTTCATGCTTGTACAGCAAGCGCTTTCCTGAGCCCACGCCTCAGCCTGGCTTTGTGTTGACCTGTGTGGGGTTAATTCTGATCTAACTCATTGTCTCACGGTCAGGTGCAGAAATCTGACCTTTGTGATGGAGCCCACAGCACATGTGCAAAGGATGTTTAACTCATCCCATGACACCGCAAATTTAGTGACATGTCTCTAATTTAAAAGAAAAAAAATGAGGGGGGCAGGATTTCTGTAAGACAGCTCAGAGTAAGGTGCTAGTCAAGGAGCCCAGGGCCCGCCCATGCAGTAGAGAGCAACTGACTCTTGCAAGTTGTCTTCTGATGTCCACACATGCTCTGTGGCATGCGTGTGTGCACACGTTAAAACAATTAGTAAAATGTTTTTTTTTTTAAATTAAAAATTGTACCCATGCTTTTCCTAATGATTACTGTCACTTAGGAAATGATACAGTGCCAATATGAGCATTACTATAAAGAACTGCTTTTCATTTGAAGTCAGTCTCCTTAAGATCCAGTTGCCAGAACAAAGGAGGAGAGTGAGCCGTTTCCTGGCTCCTGTTGCCCTGGGAACAGGAGTACATCTCTCTGCTGATCGCTGGCTCTGGGCTTCACCACATTAATTTTTTTTTTCTTTAGCTGGAACCGTGAGTGATGGCGCCTAGAAAATCGTTCAATTTATTTTTCCTTCTTCTGTTAGTAGGAAAATTGTGCATTTTCCCATCAGATAAATGAATGTCGGGATTTCCTAGTGTACAAAGTGTTCCTCATCTTTGATGACAGATCAAGTGGAATTACCGTGTTAGAACATGGGGCCTCGTGACATTTTGTAGGACTACAAGATACAACTCTTGTGGGGCTTTTCTTCCTCTGTCTCTGTCTCTGTCTCTCTCTGTCTCTCTGTCTCTCTGTCTCTCTCTCTCTCTCTCTCTCTCTCTCTCTCTCTCTCACTCTCTTCTTTTTTCCCCATTAATCCTCTTTGTAGTTTATGTTAAATTTTCATTAATGGCTGTGTTTCTTTAAGCCATAAATGACGAGATTTTGTTTGTGGAAGGGTGTTATGTGCATGTAGAGGTCAGAGGGCAACATCAAATGTCTTCTTTATTGCTCTCCACCTTATTTCTTTTGAGGCGGGGTCTCTCCCTGAACAGGGAGCTCATTACTTCAGAAGGCTAGCTGAGCTGGCTGGTGAGCTCCAGGAAGCCTCTTGGCTCTGTCTCCCCAGCTCAAATTACTGGCACCTCACTGTCACATACCTGGCTTTTTCCTTAGGCTCTGGAGTTCAGAACCCACACCCTCATGCTGTGGCAAGTATTTCACCACCTTGTCAGCTTCCAGATTTTGGTCTTAATGTCTTTATCCAGAGGATTTCACTCTCCCCGCCCCTCACCCTGCATTAATGCATTTGTGTCTTCATTATCATCTAAATTCAGTTTTAAATACTGCTGTGGCCTCATCCCCTTCATCACAGGTGCTATAGGACATCCCCAGGTCATTCTGTATCATCACAGGTGCTATAGGACATCCCCAGGTCTGCTCTGTATCATCACAGGTGCTATAGGACATCCCCAGGTC